ATCATTTAATAAAAAACCACTCAACATGATCTCAAACTCCTTTACAAATTGTAAATAATCAACCGGGTTTCCATCAAAACACCGTGGTTCAAATTTAGGGAGTTTGATGTTCCTATTATCCCTGAACGGCGAAACAGTAACATCAACCATGTCATGCTTAACATCAGACACATCGTTACAATTAACAGACAAGTCACCATGACTTACTTTCCTGTTTGCATCCAAGACACTCTGTCCCTTCTTTGACCCAGGCATTGTTGAACTTGACCCAATTCCAAAACAGTTCCAGATATTGCTTGTTCAAAGAGGACTTGACCGGCACCAGGAAAGATGAACGGTGACTATCCAAACTTTCACCAACTGTTTGAATCCGCCAGCTCTGTTTCTATCGTCAGAAACTGTCAATCACGTCTCATAAACCGTTAATGCCCAGCTCTCGCTACGCTCGGGCCCACGCTGTTCTTCGAAGATTTCAGAAACGCTTAGTTATAACGGACGCAAAAACCAAAACACCGATCTGCCGTTTGATATTTCTTTATTGTTACACCAACATATAAAAAGAATAAGCGAACTAAAGTCTGAAAACAAATATTACAATAATAAATCATTGTATTACTTCTGACGATGTTTCACTCTTCTTTCTGAACAGCGACCGATGAGACGATGACTGTCGTATTGATGCCTCCGCGAAAATTGGGGAAGTTGATTTTAAGCAAACAACCAAGAATTGATCGTTCAATCTTCAACTCCATTGACATTAGCCCTTGCGTAATCTGTGAGATATAGAGTATGTCTGGCTATCTTTGAAATACTAAGTAGGAGCAGATATTTGGAAAAGCCTATTGGTTAAAGATTATGTCGTAGTCAAATAAAGTAAATATGCCTAAACCGTAGAAGAGCTCTTGCGATTATATAGCGTTTCGAGTTATATATCGTCATAGCAGAATACGTAAACTGATTCCCGATTCATAGTCACAAATTGAGAATAAATCTACCTGAGATAGTTTGCTTGTGATTTCTGCATGTCGCAATGTACCATAAGGAGAGACTATACCTATGCTAATAGATGTATAACTCAGTGCAACTACGGTTATCGTAATAATTAAAAAAAGAATGTCTAGGGCTCTCAGCCAAAGAACATCTAACTTAGCACGTGTTACTTATGTTACTGGAACACAATCGCATTACAACAGAAGGAACACAGATTCATTGAAAAATTGTTTATTAAACAAAAATCAGATTTCAAATGTACAGATAATTCAGATGAGTAGTCCTCTGTTACCGTCAGTAAGTTCCGTCTGAGAACACGGCACATATATGTTTTTCCATAAGTCTGCAAAAGGTTTAAGAAAAGCATAATTAACTTGGGTATTACATGCATGATCTGAATAAAAAAATTTCCTGATAAGCATTTAGAAGTAATCACTTTACAAACAATATATATATGTATATATAAGTAGCCCAATAGTTTTCACTAAACTTAAGGGACTTTGCAACCTATCGCTGGTCGATGTCCAGTAGGTCCATTGAAGCATCATGAAATGATAAAATTATCTAACAACAAGTTATGCAGTAGTTTTCAAAGCTTGTACAAATATTTTAGCAAAAATGACAACAACTTTATGACAAATAATAGGTGTTGACAGCAATAATAATGACAATCATGTTCATAGTGACTATAAAAACAATAATAGGTATTATCATCGCAACAAATTCATCATTAACTTAGATAGACAACTAATAATAATACAATCATATCAAATAAATGTATCACTTAATCTTAAGAAGCATGTGTTTACTTACTTTCACTGTATTCTCTCAATACTGATGTGCTCAACCAGCTTATTCCAACTGAATTCAAGATTAATTCTGATAGTGAGTGAAGATCCAGCTTATGTCAAATAAAAACATGCAACTTACATGTATTACACTGCTTACTGAGACATCTGATACCTGCTTTCCGACCTTCGTGACAAGAACACAGTTTATCTAGGTTTACCTACATATACATGAGTATATGTATATGCTGCACCAACCATGCCATTTTTATCATGACTAGCCAGACCACTGTGTATTTCATACTTATTTAAGGATCTCTGAAAATAATGGTCAAGCGATAATTGAAGTTGCGTGAAGTTATTACCTCTTCAAGACATTGTTTGCATTCTTGACACTCCTGAGAAGTCCTTAGATCGTAATTTGCATGAATTCGTTGAATTCAGCAAACAAATCCACTGGTATATCATTTCTCTCCTCAGCTGTAATAGTTTGTGTTGTCAGTTATCTCTCAAACTTGATAAAACGATCCCGGAAATTCAGAACTTAACCGAGCAGCAAAATGATGTTTGAAATTACCTCAACTAGAATGACAAACTGGCCAATCACGAGCGAGCGAATCGCTTGTTTATCTCATTCGCGGTCACTCAAAATTAAGGCCGTTTACAGGCTGCCAGCCTGTAGACGGCCGTAGGTCATTTGATCAGCTGATGAATATTGGCGTTATTTTTGGAAATGACGTCAAGGTTAGGTCATTTTTCGTTGTTTTACACACTTTTTTACATATATTCCAGTTAAAAGTTGATGAAATACGGCTTATTTAGCAGAAATAGGCAATGGTGGCGTCCTTATCCGGCCGTAGCTTACAGGCAGTTTGCAGTTTTTTGGAAAAACGTACTTTTCCGTTCAAAATACGTCGAATTACTTCAAGAAACATGTTATAATGATCTTCTCGTGAATTTTCTTTGCATTTTAATGGATTACACATGGACATGACGAGGTGGGATAGCTCGTTTCGGTAATTATATCATTTACTTCCTTGTTTAATTTTCGTAATGCTGACAAGGCTACTCCATATGTATTTCTTTAGGAAAAATCTGCAGAAATACTTAGAAATTATATACGCAAAGTAATTCCTTTTTTTATGGCATAAACTTGATGTTTGCAGGCAGATGCAATATGGATTTTATATTATTGAAAACTGTGGACTTACATAATTATATACAATTCAAGTAATTATTTCGTCATTTTAAACATATTTAATGGTTAGTTATTGTGTTAACACTGATAACAATGTCTATATCTGTATATATCTTATGTCCTTTTTCAGATAATATCTACTTTCGGGAATTTCATGGGTTTCGTTGATAAAGAAAAAGATACCTGCACTGTTGTCGATTTTGTATTACATGTTAATTCATTAATAAATGTATTCCTCGTTAATCTTTTGTTTATTCTACTTGATAAGACCGAATATTAGCCCTTGCGTAATATGTGAGGTATAGAGTATATGAGGCTATCTTTGAAATACTAAGTAGGAGCAGATATTTGGAAAAGCCTATTGGTTAAAGATTATGTTGTGGTCAAATAAAGTAAATATGTCTAAACCGTAGAGAAGGTGTTGCGATTATAAAGCGTTTTGAGTTATATATCATCATAGCAGAATACGTAAACTGATTCCCGATTCATAGTCACAAATTGAGAATAAATCTACCTGAGATAGTTTGCTTGTGATTTCTGCATGTCGCAATGTACCATAAGGAGAGACTATACCTATGCTGTTAGATGTATAACTCAGTGCAACTACGGTTATCGTAATAATTAAAAAAAGAATGCCTAGGGCTCTCACCCACGGAACACGATGCGTTGCTATCTGCTCCTATAACCACGTAAACAAAAGTTTTCCAGACAGCGCATTTACTCCTAACAGTTTACCCTCAACTCCTAACTTAGCACGAGTTACTTATGTTACTGGAACACAATCGCATTACAACAGAAGGGAGACAGATTCATTGAAAAATTGTTTATTAAACAAAAATCAGATTTCAAATGTACAGATAATTCAGATGAGTAGTCCTCTGTTACCGTCAGTAAGTTCCGTCTGAGAACACGGCACATATATGTTTTTCCATAAGTCTGAAAAGGTTTAAGAAAAGCATAATTAACTTGGGTATTACATGCATGATCTGAATAAAAAAATTTCCTGATAAGCATTTAGAAGTAATCACTTTACAAACAATATATATATGTATATATAAGTAGCCCAATAGTTTTCACTAAACTTAAGGGACTTTGCAACCTATCGCTGGTCGATGTCCAGTAGGTCCATTGAAGCATCATGAAATGATAAAATTATCTAACAACAAGTTATGCAGTAGTTTTCAAAGCTTGTACAAATATTTTAGCAAAAATGACAACAACTTTATGACAAATAATAGGTGTTGACAGCAATAATAATGACAATCATGTTCATAGTGACTATAAAAACAATAATAGGTATTATCATCGCAACAAATTCATCATTAACTTAGATAGACAACTAATAATAATACAATCATATCAAATAAATGTATCACTTAATCTTAAGAAGCATGTGTTTACTTACTTTCACTGTATTCTCTCAATACTGATGTGCTCAACCAGCTTATTCCAACTGAATTCAAGATTAATTCTGATAGTGAGTGAAGATCCAGCTTATGTCAAATAAAAACATGCAACTTACATGTATTACACTGCTTACTGAGACATCTGATACCTGCTTTCCGACCTTCGTGACAAGAACACAGTTTATCTAGGTTTACCTACATATACATGAGTATATGTATATGCTGCATCAACCATGCCATTTTTATCATGATTAGCCAGACCACTGTGTATATCATACTTATTTAAGGATCTCTGAAAATAATGGTCAAGCAATAATTGAAGTTGCGTGAAGTTATTACCTCTTCAGAACATTGTTTGCATTCTTCACACCCCTAAGAAGTCCTTAGATCTTAATTTGGCATGAATTCGTTGAATTCAGCAAATAAATCCACCGGTATTTCATTTCGCTCCTGAGCTCTAATAGTTTGTGTTGTCAGTTATCTCTCAAATTTGATAAAACGATCCCGGAAATTCAGTACTTAACCAAGCAGCAAAATGATGTTTGAAATTACCTCAACTAGAATGACAAACTGGCCAATCACGAGCGAGCGAATCGCTTGTTTATCTCATTCGCGGTCACTCAAAATTACGGCCGTCTACAGGCTGCCCTACAGGCTGCCTGTTAGCATATACTTACCAATGCGAAAATGCAAAAAACCAAAAGATATCTTAGTAGAAACTTTCTATCCACAGTGTTATGTTACGAATAATTCATGTAACACTCCTTTACAGGTGAAATCTTTTCCTACTGTTACTAAATTTTCAGAAATCAGACATTCAATACATCCAATCAGAATTTCGCAAAAAATAAATCATTTGCGTATTTTTGTCGGTTTTTTTAAACGAAATCAACAATTTAAGCCAAATTTTTACATCCCATATACAAAGATACGCAGAAATTTCATGAAAAATACGTGTTCACCCAAACTGCTGAAAACCGTGCATTATCCATCATTTTTATAGCCTTTCCTGTTAAAATATGGCTTTGAAAATGTTTTTCCGTTGAAAAAACACCTCAAAGCAACGTAGAACTGCCAAAACACAACTGCGCGATAACACCTAACAACAACCCGTGTGTGCCTTTATCCATTGCCTAACCAAGCATCAAAATGATGTTTGAAATTACCTCAACTCGAATGACAAGCTGGCCAATCACAAGCGAGCAAATCGCTTGTTTATCTCATTCGCGGTCGCTCAAAATTACGTCCGTCGACAGGCTGTCCACTCTCAACATATTGTTTGCAATGATTGGGCGTCTCACTCCACCAAAAACCCTGGGCGTGATGGACAATATTAGTCCTACAGATCCTAACAAGTTATATTGGGTATTGAATTGACCTTACTTAATTGCGGGTCGACTGAATTATTTCAAATCCTTGAGGTCAGAGTGAGATTACTCTTTGTTCTTGCTCTGGTGCTATGCCTAGAAGGCAGAGCAGTTTACGCTTAAGAATTAAAAGAGGTTCGTTACTGGAAGCCAAGGATGCGTATGAAAATTGGTATCCTGTGAAAGTGCTTGCAGTAAAAAATGAACAGGTAAGCTAACTTATGTAGTAAAATGCAATTGAAACATTTTTTGTTTGTGCTTCGTTTTAGAGTTTTCTCTGCACAATTTTGAATTAGTTTTATATCACATCTTTGATTATTGGTGTAAAGAATCAAATGTTTAGTCATAGGAAAGGAAGAGACATGGTCACCTAATGGAATGACCATGAGCAGGACAAAGTGAATTCACTTTGTGCTGCTTATTGATGTTTTGAAGTAGCAATTCAAATATTTTGTGTTAAACACTTTAATGCCGGGGTAATTATTTCGCTTAGATTCAGATTTATTGGTTGAGGATAGAAGGCTTGGAGCCTATGTTAATCCTTTTCGAGTAAATTTCTGTGGTTGCCCAAACCCTTCTTGAATGAATCAGTTGAGGTTGCAGACACCACTTCTTCTTCTAGGAGTCGGTTCCAAGAGTTTATGACTCGATATGAAAACCAGTACTGAACAGCAATATGATTTCTTCTTGGCTTTTGAACTCTCCTGCTATGTCCGACCACCTGATGGGAAGGAAAAGAGATAATAGGTCAGGTTTGTAGTCATTATTTAAAATTTTAAACGTGATTAAATCTGCTGTCTGCCTACGGTATGACAGGGAGAAGAGATTTAAACATGACTTTCCTCGTATGATAAATTAGTCATACCGAGTACCATTCGTGTTACCTTCCTTTGAACCCTTTCTAGAATGTGTGAGTCCCCTTCAGACAAAGAATATTGACGTTGATTTCGATGTATTTTTATGGTGATTTCGCAGGAATTCTGGATTTTGATAAAATACCAGCGTTCTCATGTATATAGCCGTAGATCTACATTCGCAGAATATATAGATAAGTCTGAGTACTATGTTCTCGTGAGTCAGTGAGTTCATTTATTTTGTGCACATAATCTGGAATTCCTTTATGGGGAAGAATTTATGGAAGCACCATGGTGTTTCCCAACCTATCATTATTCGTGATGCCAATTTCCGGTGCATCATAAGCTGAGAATAGGGTTGTGCTATTAAAGTCATGACACTACAATAGGGAGATGTATCAGATGAGATTCAGTGAGAAACATGAATTGGCTGCTTTACCATGACTCCATGATTTTCTAATCCTAGCATTTCAAGGTCTCCCACTGCAACCCAAATCGATCTTCGTCACTGAGGTAAAACAAGCCACTGACTTGACGAGTTCATATCGCCCTGTATTATTACTTCATCCTTTTCGTTAACCTTCTGCATGGAAAATGCTTTCTGTCCAGTCGGATTCTCATAAGAAATTTGATGAGAAATGATCATTAGATTCACATTCAGGTTACAGGGATAGTAGGCTCTTGTTGCTTATTTTAATTCTTGTGATATATCTCTGCAAACATACAGTTCCTCTTTGAAAGCATTCGCCGACGGAGCTGTTACTACTGAATCAGGTAAGGAGTTCCAGTCGTTGACCACTCTGTGAGAGAATCTAAATTCCACACGTATTTTGTTTGACGTCGGTTTTAGCATTTTCTTGTAGTGACCTCGTATGTGTATCCTAGATGGAGAGAAAAGATTAGAAAAGTCAGTCCTTAAGTCATTCTCTGATATACGTTATGCCAAAATTAAGTCGCCTCTCCTCCTTCGGTATGCTAATGGGAAGAGATTAAAATGCTCCATCCTTGCATCATAAGGAAAGTATGAGATATCATTAAATCATTTGGTTCTTACCCTCTGTACTATTTACAGGATATGTATCTCCTTTTTGAAGCATGGACTCACCGCTTGTATGCAGTATTCTAGGTGAGGTCTGACATATGTTGCACAGAGTACTTGGAGTATACCTTCGTCTAATCGGTTGAAAGCCCTTCGTAGTGTCCATAGCATTCGAAGAGCCTTAGCTGCGGTTCCATTACAATCTGCCGTTGTTTTTAAGTCATGGCTTACAATAATTCCTAAATCCCTTTATCCCTTGACATCTGGCAGTTCTGTCCGCTAGGGAATACGACGCATAAAACCTCTGACCTAGGTGCATTATCGTGCGTTTCTTGGAGTTAATTTCCAGATTGCAGAGGTTAGCCCATTCAGCTAATGTATCTAGATCGCGTTGTAGCACCAACTTATCATCGTTATTATTAACGGTTTTCCATGTCTTAATATTGTCAACAAATAATAAGTAATATAAGGTAGGAATTTTCAGCACTTCATTTACGTATAATAAGAAGAGCAGGAGGCCAAGTACGGTTCCCTGAGGTACTTCACGTAATACTGCTTTCCAATCTGACGGTGCATCATTAACTCTTACCTCCTGCCTTCTGTCCATTAGGTAGTCGCTAAATCACTCATATAGGTGTTGGTCTAATGCAAAACGTTTGAGTTTACTAAGGAGACCTAAATGGGATACCTTATTGAATGTTTTACCAAGATCGATAAAGACAACGTCCAAAAGATGGTTCTTATCCCTGGCTTCTACCCAATCTTCCCTAGCTAGCATTAAGTTTGTCAGGCAGGATCATCTTTGTCGGAATCCGTGTTTCTCCATATGAGCTAAGAGCTGATCCCTTATGAGTGTTTCTAATATCTTTGCTATAAAGTGGGTCAGACTTACAGCCCGGTAGTTAGACACTAACTGCCTGTTCCCCTCTTTGAAGATGGGACTTATAAAAACATCTTTCCAGTCCCTGGGTAGCCTAACCTGGTTCACAGACATTTGAAAAATCTCCGTAATTGGAACGTATACTATATCCACCAAGGACATAAGCAGTCTAGAGTGAAGCCCGTCAGGTCCAGGCGATTTATCTTGCTTCATTTTAGATATTAGTTTGAGAACCACTGAATCATCTGCCACAATTGGGGGCATTTTAGGGGCTACATCAGTTACCTCGCTACACCCCTGAGTGGTACACGATTAGATGAGGAAACATCACAAAAGTATTCGGAGAGCTTCCCAGCTTTTGTTTTGTCTGATTCGGCCGCCTCTCCAGTATTGCTTATGGAAGGACGGTATACCACTGCTAGTTTTAGTCCTACGTTTGGCATACGAGTGCAGTGCACACAATCCAGTACTGTTTGTCATACTCTATGCGACTTTTGTCAGTCATGTACTTACAAAGGTTTCGAATTTAACAGTGGTCCATCCGAAACTCATCCCTCTCATTCACAGCAAACCGGTTCCATAAGTTATCGCTTTTTCTTGATAACCTTATTTCATTAATAATCCAAGGTGGTTTATGCGATAGTCTGTGTGCTCTAATGCAGATGTACTCAGGCATGAGTGGAGTTAAGTCTGCACCCACTAAACAACCATTTTTCAGTGACAGCAATCACATCAGGTTGTAGTCCTTCAGACAACACTCCTAGTTCGGGTAGCTTATTCCTAAGACTACACGCATTCGTATAGAATACTGAGAGACCTACGTGTTTGCTCAACTTATAAACAGAGGTCTGGGCAACATAGGTTTCTGATACTTCACTACCCGAAAACCCAAGTTTGCCTTTTTCTAGTCGGGCCTTTAATTCAGCTACAGCTTCTCTTCTCTTAATACTATCTTCCAGAGGCCGGTCAGGCCTTATTCTCATCTTTTTATCCTTGATCTTCGATGCGTCGCCGATAATAATGCCTTTCTCCATCTCGTTCCCCAGTAAGTTCTTCAGCAGTCGTGGGGAACTTTCCTTTGCATTGGCATTTCGTTCACTGGTTCTGATGACTTTTCTTATGTGTGCTCCATTTGTTTTTTCAGGAAGTGCTTCACGAATGATGGAGCTAGTTGTCTCGAGATCATCAGCATGTTGGGCAGCGGGATCTACTTTCTTTGATCCCTCCAAGTTCCAAATTACGATACTGTAATTTGAGTCCGAAGGTTTCGCAATCGTTTTGGCCGTCGCGACCTTCAGCTTCTTATTTTTTGGCACTAACCAAAAGGAATTAGTTACTTCCACTTTACTCTCGCCGCATTTAGAAGCCATGCGTTCACCAGACACGCAACGCTTCGTCGTAGTAGTGTCACCCGGCTGTTTTACGATGTTGGCACTGCTTGTCCTCTTAGGTTTTCAGGAATTTTCGCTTGCTTTTGCAGACTTTTGGGCACACTGTATCTCTTTTGTGTCTTTCAAAGCTTCGTGGTGTGCTTCTGTCTCAGTCTTATGAATCAGTCCAGAATCATCATACGTGGCATCGGTTCCAGATGCCGACTTTTTCCCTTCATCTGAAGTTTTTGTCAATTTACTGGACATGAGAAGTCTTACGGCCTCTTGCACGAGGCAGTTAAATGGGTTGCTACAAAATTTGCACACCTATGGAGACAATGTTTTGCTCCACTTCCTATAGGCTGATGATGACGAGTCAGTGCAAACTTGATGAAACCATAGGTTGCAGTTATCACACTGCATCCCATCATCCACCAGGAAGTGGCAGTTCAGTCGTCCACAGCTATTAGTGAGATTCATGTCGGTATAAGTTGTTTAAATTACACAGATATATACATATATATATATATATATATATATATATATATATAGTCTTATGCTATCCAAGTCATGCCACTACAATAGAGAGATGTATGAGATGAGATTCAGTGAGAAACATTAAGTGGCTACTTTACCAGGATTCCATGATTTTTCATCAGTTCTCCTTGACTTGTTGGTATGAGGATTTTTTGGGCTCGCGTATTCTCGCGTAACTAGTTGTCAGGACGTATATAAGAGGCTCGTTTAGCATGTCATCTTCACACGAGTTATCCACCGCTGGACATCAGAAACTACCAACAAATCATTCCTTTCTTCTTTACTAATAAAATTTTTTGGCCGTCAAAATAATTTTCAAGGCTAGAAGGCGAAGTCAGTTGAATGGGGTTGCGCAGCTTCAGAGACAAATGACACTAAGACGTCGTTGTCCATGCTGCGCCACCACCACCTCCCTAGACATGCTTCTGTGTTGGCTAAAGTAAGCCTAGGACTGAGAACGAGTAGAGAGGTGTTCAGACCAAATATTTTTTACGTTTTATTCTTTTGTATTCCGAGTAGGACATCGCATAGGGCTTCAACCTTTTTTGGGGTGTGAAGTTTCAGTGTGGCAGTGGTTTTCTTTTTTTCTTTTACAGCTTGGGTTTTCTAGTCTCACGCCCAACCTTGCCCTTTTACCGAGCTTACTACCAGCAGCAGCTAGGTGAGGGTTAGAGGGTGCGTCTGTCGAAGACCAAACCCTGCAGCTTATGTGTGTTGGCCGACATTCCACCGCTGCACTACGGACACATGGTCAGACCAAAGCGTATAATCCAAGAAGTCTTCGTCTGTTGGCTTCAGTTGTCCAAGGAGACTTAGATTGTGACAAGGTTTCTTATGATGCTAAAAACTGATTGTTTTGGAGACTGTTAGGATAGTTCAATTCTTACGAGTTGATCACAGATTGACATCAGTTAGAGAACCATTGAAAACCAGCCACAGGGAGTACTGGACAGCTGTTTCATCAGCCTAGTTTTGGAAATCATTGGGTTTCGAATGGTATACGAGCTTTCCTTGTAACCGAAAGGTCCTGGGTTCGAACCCCGGCAGTGGGTGTGCACTGACGATGATTCCCAAACTAGGGTGATAAAACAGCTGTCCAGTACTCCCTGTGGCTGGTTTTCAATGGTTCTGTAACTGATATCATTCCGTGATCAACTCGTAAAACACAAAACTAACCCTTACAAACCAAACTATAGAAAATAGTTCAGTTCACTTTTTGGTATCATTTCGATTCAGAAAATCTTCACTAACTAATCTTCATTTCGTTGATTGCTGTCTTCATACACCTTTATATGCTATGGTTTCATTGCATTTCTATTCTCCATTTATTATTTACACTTATCCGAAATATAAAACCTTGTTGAAGAACTGTGATGTGATTTTTTGTAAAGCTACTTGTACATCAAGTCAATCTCAGTTGATAAATTTAAGTTAAATGTCTTAGAAGCTGTGAGAGGGAGGAAATGTGTGTGTAATTGTGTGTAAAGTGGAGTTCATTTAGGTGTAGTTAATGAATTGCTTGCGTTCGATGGCATCATCGCGTGAGTAATTCTGGGGTTCGGCGGTGGTGATCACCATTCATTCACTGAGTGTCGTCGTTATCTGCAAACACCGGCTCTGGTGGCTTGGACATGTGCTGCTGCCAGTGTCACCACAGAGGCTTCCGTACAGGTCTCTGTTTGTTAGCCAGCCCTGGGACGGTATGGAAAAGCCGAACGGGTGATCAGTCCATGATGTGGCATCGTGGGATGAAGGATTTTTGTGGTAGATTAGCGTCATCGGTTGGTGCGTCACGACTCCACGGTTAGGGTCCGCTAGATAGTTCGAATCGATGGCTCGAAACGTTATCGGATATGGCCAAGAATCACAGTCATCAATGGCGAACGTGTTGCAATTTCTTTCTTTCTTCCCTTCCCGATGATAGTTGACCAATACTGTTTGAACTCGTTAAATGGTATGACTGTTTTCCTCTCAGATGAAGTTCTTTATCCGTTCTCTACTTATATATATTTCTTCTTACTTTTGATCTATGTTGTTTTATTACTATTCTTGTGTGGCGCATGTTTCTTGGTGCCATATTGTACCAAGTTTTCTTCTGCGTTTAAATAAATAAATAAAAATAGTTAATGAATTGCACATTTCATATATTTTATTCTGTTCTATACATCGCTTACTGTTGTTAATTTTATTGAAAAGAACAAGAAGTTCAGCAAAGATGGCGATCTTTTCAGCGATTTCATTGTCAAAAAGCAGCTGTACAATCGCATCTTATATAGATTAGTTTACATGGATACAATTATTATTTATTTAATTAATTCCACATAGCAACGAAAGTGATAATAGTTTTCAACTTGATATGAATGTTTGAAGGTACGAATAATCTAGTAATCTATATTCTCACACACCTCCTAACTTACATTTCAAGTTGAAAATTTTGATTTCAATTTGTTTCCATGCTCATTTTGTTCACACCTGGAATTCGTTCTATCCCTGCGTTTCTAAGCCTCTTGTAATTCATATCAAGTTAAAAATAATTGTCACCTTTTATTCGCCTTTAAAACTATTATTTCTCCAGTTATCAAATAATAATTTTGAATATATATTGTAACTGTTTTCTAATTCTATGCAATCTTGTCTCTAAGCTCCTTATAATCTACATTAGTATCTTCAAACTTTCATATCAAGTTGAAAATTATTATCGCCTTCGTTACTATGTGGAATTAAACAAATAATAATAATTGTATCCATGTAAACTAATCTATATAAATGCGATTGTACAGCTGCTTTTTGACAATGAAATCGCCGAAAAGATCGCCATCTTTGCTGAACTTCTTGTTCTTTTCAATTTAATGTTCCAATGGGTTAATTTTATTATCTTTATTTTTAGGTTTATGTGCATTTCTGTAATTGGAGTTCCCGGTATGATACATGGTATCCAATCAGCTCTGAATGTTTACGTACGCTAAGAAGAAATACTCACCAATTTGTTACTACGAGCCAAGGTCAACCTGCTTTTCACAACATTCCAGTAGTGGATAAGGGGAAAGACACTTCAGAAATTTATGATACTCAAATTGAAGTTGGTAGTTTTGTAATGGCTTCATGGCACAACGATTATGAATACCTTGCTGAAATTCTGGCACATCGTCAACGACACGGCACAGAAGCTGAATATCGTCTGCGGTATGTCTGGGATCGTGTTGTAGAATGGACACCGGTTAGCCGACTGCGCAAAGCAACACAACAGGAAATTGACTATGTCCTGGATTTCTGCAAAGCGCACCATTCACCTACAATTAAGCTTGATAATAATAAACCGCATTCCCAACAGTCAGGCAACGATAACGACGCTGACGATGGCGATGACCCCGACTATCGTACTTCTGATATGGTGGAGGTGGTCTCCACCAGAAAGCGATCACGTTCAACACGGGCGACTCCCAGCACCACCGCATACGCTGCAGATGATAAGAAAAATTGCAACTCAATACCATATGATGGGATTGTTGAACAGGATGGTATGGTTTATGAGAAGAGCGTTTTTGAATTTCATGAAGCTTGTCGAAGACGTCGTGAACTGAAGAGAAAAGCTATTGGAGGAGAAATGGGGACTTCGCTGAATGCCTGTGATGGTGGTGGATTTGCATCTTCTGCATCTCAGGCATCCGTAGGACAGTCGGATCTGCAGGCTACCAATGTTGACACTGTGCCACTCGCATTTCCTACAAATGTTGTTTCTCAGAAAGTCAGAAATTCTTCAGTTTTTAATATTCAACCGTCGACGTCTGCGATTACATCTGATGGGAAAAGTGACGAAATAGTAAGTAAAATGCATGTTTTCCATTCGTTTCTATAACTGTTTCGATTTAGTGTCATCCTCTGTCTTATACACGTCTTTTCATTGTTAAGTTTTGTGTCCTTCTATTTTGGATGCTCTTCTGATTAGTACACTCAGTGTGCAAAGTCTTACATCAATCAACATCACTTGAACAACCACAGTTGAAATATTGTATGATATCGACTCAGCGGTTCATTACTGCCCACCGACCGATAGCTGCTACCTTGACGTGATGGTCGGGCTTGTACATCGTGATGACCCAACAAGTTACAAGGACTATTGTTCCTGCAGGTCCTACCTACCATGCCAAGAAGGTTGTTAGGATAGCGAATAGAGTGAAAGCAGTTACCTGCGTCCCGACCGAAAGCTGCTACCTTGACGTGGTGGTCGGGCTTGAACACCGCAATGACCTAATCAAGCTATACTGGCTGAGACTTATGTCTCTTGAGGTTCTACCATGCCAGGCAGGTTGTTTGGATAGCGGTTAAACAAAAAGCAGCTACCTCATCCAATACCATGATCCAAACAAATTCACAAAATTTCATGCCGGATCGGCCGTGGCCCGGATTAACAACGACCGCGCTTCCTGCTGCCGTGTCACAGGGCGGGAGTGATAAGTATGCTACTGAGGCACACCAAACAAAAGAGAACAAACAAAAACAGGCCGCGTGTGACCGGCCTCAAGCAGTTGTCCCCTGGGCTCTGCGGTCACGCAACCAACTTCCACGGTGTGGGCAGCCGGGAAGTAACAATCGCCCTCACAATCCGAAATGCACACAAAACCTCTCTAATCCTCACTTATCTTTGTCTTCATCTTCATCTCTATTACCTTGCCTTCCCCCAGTGATGCAACTCCTCTACTTGATGGCTCCTCACTCCCTCTTCACTCTGTGTCCACTAAAAACGACGAAAGCCAAAAAACCACCACGGATAGTCTCCTAAAGCCACGCCACCAATTTCATATAGGAGCATTTAATGTAAGGACACTTTGCCAAATAGGACAACAAGCATCACTAGCTAAGACCCTGGCATCTCGAGCCATTGATGTATGTTGTGTTTCAGAAACACGCATACAAGACCCAAGTGTGGTTATTCACCTAACCCCACCTGGCCAACAGGATGAATCTTCAAAATTCACCTTGAGGGTGTCAGGAGATGCCACAGCTAGTTCACGAGGATTAGCTGGCGTAGGGATAGCTCTGAGTACTAGGGCAGAAAAGACATTGCTTGACTGGATCCCGGTAGATAGCCGAATGTGTGCTGTCCGTCTGAACGGATCAGTAAGAAGGAGAAAGGACTGCACTACTCGCCGATGCCTTTTCGTAATCTCCGCCTACGCCCCCACTGACTGCAGTTCGGATGAAACGAAGGATGAGTTCTACCAAAAGCTGTCTAGTTTGGTGAGAAAGGCTAAACGCTCAGATATAGTCGTTCTAGCTGGTGACTTTAACGCTCAAGTAGGGAAATTGTGTCAATCTGAGAAGGATGTCGGTGGCACCTATGGAGTTCCGTGCCAGCGAACCGACAACGGTGACCGTCTCCTACAGTTCTGTTCAGATAATCATTTGTTTCTTGTAAGCACTAACTTTAAACACAAGGAGAGACACTGTTTAACCTGGCGACCCCCATCATCAAACCAACGCTGGACACAAATAGACCACATAGCAATAAGCTATCGTTGGCGTGGGTCGGTAGGAGATTGTCGCTCCTTCTGGAACACGTGTGTAGATACCGATCACGCACTGGTCCGGGCTCGTGTGTGCTTACGACTGAACGGACGTAGGAAACAGCTGGCGGTAAAACCATCACGTCCCCAGCTCGATCAGGAAACTAAATCCCTATTTGAGGAAGAACTAGCTAAACGCATATCTGAATTCGACAGCTGTGCTCACCCTGGAGAAGCCTGGAAGAATATTCAGTCAGCTATAGATACAGCTGTAAAAGCTGTGAATAAGGCAAATCCAAAGGTGAGTAAAAACCACTGGATTTCGACTGCCTCATCCGAACTGATAGATGCTAGAAGACTTATTCCGGCGAGCTCCGAATTCAATGAGGAGCGAAAGCTGCACAAAAGGAAACTTACTAAAAGTCTCCGCAAGGACCGTGAACAGTGGTGGGTGACAAAGGCGAAAGAGATGGAAAAAGCATTGGCGATAGGCAACACTAGGCAACTCTTTAGACTCATCACAGAATCGGGCGGGAGAAGGCAATTCATAAGTGAGACTATTTCTGAGAAAAATGGCTCCTTAATTAGCTCTCAGGATAGACGCCTTGAACGCTGGAAAGAACACTTTGAGGAACAATTTAACTTGCCTACAGCCACACTGAACCTCCCCGCCATCCACCACGTACCCGAATGGGATATAGACACTGGTCCGCCGTCTGTAGGTGAGGTTACAAAAGCTATCAGTAATTTGAAACGAGGCAAAGCGGCAGGACCCGACGGAATTATTCCGGAGGTGTTTAAATATGGGGGTGACATACTAGTTTGTAGATTAACTGAGGTACTAGGCAAAGTCTGGGAATCAGAGACAGTCCATCAGACTGGGGTAAGTCACTTATTATACCGATATTCAAGAAGGGAAACAAGTCCTCGTGTGATAATCATAGGGGGATCAGCCTAACGAACATAGTCTCTAAAATCCTAGGCTCAGTAATCATGCATAGACTAAGCAGAACTCGGGAGGAACAGACAAGGGAAAATCAAGCAGGCTTTAGACCAGGTAGAGGGTGCATAGATCATATCTTCACTCTTCGACAGATTCTAGAACATAGACACACTTTTCGGCGTCCAACAATTGTCATATTTCTTGACTTGAAGGCGGCCTTCGACTCCGTGGATCGAAAGGTACTATGGCAATGTCTGACTGTGAAGGGAGTGCCAAGAAAGTACATTGCACTAATCAAGGCACTCTATTCAAACTCACGTAGTCGTGTAAGGGCTTATGGGGAATTGTCATCTGAATTGGTAACAACCAGTGGTGTCCGACAGGGATGTCCACTTTCCCCATTTCTGTTTAACTTCATCATAGATATGCTAATGGAAGTATCCTTAACTGAACGTAGTGACTTAGGAATCGACTTGTTACCAGGGAATAATCTTATGGACTTAGAATATGCAGATGACATAGTCCTGTTAGGGGAGGATGCTGACAAAATGCAGAGTCTTCTGAACACCTTGAGCAGCAATCTTCGTATGTTTGGCATGCGATTCGCCCCTGCAAAATGTAAGATGCTGCTACAGGACTGGACCACGTCAACCCCTAACTTAGTGATAGGGAGTGAAGTGATAGAACATGTTGACCACTTCACCTACTTGGGAAGTTGTATTAGCACCAACGGACTGATTGGCGATGAAATCTCAGCACGGATCCGAAAAGCTCGAGCTGCTTTCGCTGACTTACACCATCTCTGGCGTAGGCGTGACATCCGGTTATCAACCAAGGGACGTGTGTACTGCTCATCAGTTCGCTCCGTCCTTCTCTATGGCTCTGAAACATGGCCAATACGCGTTGAAGACATGAAAAGGTTGACTGCTTTCGATCATAGATGTCTGCGATCTCTGTCTCACGTTAGGTGGTTTCACAAGATAAGTAATGTTGACGTTAGGCGTAGAGTGTTGGGCAAAGAGGGAAAATCAATCGACGAGGCTATAAAGTTACATAGACTAAGATGGCTAGGTCACGTGCTGCGCATGCCTAACCACCGCCTCCCCCGACGGGCATTGCTAGCTGATATAGGTTCAGGTTGGAAAAGAGCCAGTGGTGGCCAAACAAAAACATGGCATCAATCCATGAAATCCTTGACAGTTAAACTGAGTCAGGTAGGGAGATGCAGACTCCCGGGTTGGGGCCCTCGGGACTCTAGGAATCAATGGCTGGAGACAATAGGTGACATGGCTCAAAATCGTTGTCAATGGCGCAGATGTATTCAGTCTCTGTAATCTTTCATATTCCTTTCTACCATTACCCATTCTGTTTCACTCTTATATTTGTCAAACTCTATTGATTCTCTTCACTCATCTTCTTGTCTACCTCTGTGTGCTATTTGGAACGTGGCAACTCGAACTGCTGCACTTCGGTGCCAAGTTCTATGTTGAATCCAGACAGACAGTTACCTGCGTAGTGTAATAGTCTTTCTTACACTATGCTGGGTGTCTGTGGGCGAAATCGTACTACTGGGGAACAGGGGTGTAACAGCAGTGAGGTGTTTCCCTCAGAGGACCAGCATGCCAGCCACCTATGCTGCCTCTCCACTGCGGAGAGATGGGGTTAGAAAAAGGTCGACCCCAAAAATTGTACATCCCTACTTACCCCATCTACGATGGTCCGTAACCGGCGGTAAGTTTACTTATACGGAACCAAACCAGGAAGCCAGTTCATACAGGCCGTGTGTGAGCGACCAGGCTCAAGCAGTTGCCTCCTGGGCTCTGCAGTCACGACGCAACACTAACCCTCTCTCTGTTTCAGGTGCTCGAAGAATCAAGCAACTTCCACTTTGGTGTGGGCAGCCGGGAAGTAACAACCGTCCACATACTTTCAAAAGCACACAAAGCCTTCCTGAACATCATTTTCCTCTACTGGCACCATGCTTTTCTTCATTCATAGTTGAAGTAAATTTTTCGTAGATGTAATCAGAATTTTCTGTCTATTTTGTAAATGTGCGCTAAAATTGTAACAAGTGTGGTGTTTTATGATGCTCCTTTTTTGTTTGATTTAGTATTTCGTAGTTTATACATGCGCTTCAGCGTTCATTGGACGACGAGATATTAGCAGCCATAAAGAATGGATACTACCACACTGAAGGTTCTGCGAAATGACCTTGAAAAATCCAATCAAATAGTTAACCTTTCAAAGTGAATTTATGTTTGGAAAAGTGGTTTGATATATCGAATAACGAACGACACTTTTGCGAAGGTGGGACATTCTTATTTGCAGCTGACATGGCGCTCGACAAAAAGGAAGGGTGGTTGTGGTGGCAACGGCACGACGTGCCTAGCACAATCTTATCGATTGGCTTCCCCTTTTTACGTAACACTGCATCACCTTAATATTACTGACCATGTTGTACTATTTTAACACGAGAGATGAAACTGTGAGATACGTACGATCAAAAACGACTAGTCACTTCGTAGCTTTAACTTTCAGTGTGTACACGTCTCACCGGTTAGTCATATAATCTTCACAGATTTGTTATTAAAATAATTATTTCCTTTGATAAATTTGAATAAGGCATCAAGAGGACAAATTTCGCCGCGAGATGATATCGTCATTTCGTAGTTTCTTTACAACCGCTATACAACTAACACGGTTCACAATAATAAAATAAGATAAAGTCCACATGACAATTACTCAGTTAAATGAAAAACAAAAGTACATACTAATGACGAATCATATTTAGATAGGTCATGTAGTCCAGGGTAGGCGAAGATTGAAGTCTATTGTTTTGACTGCACACACAGTTTAGGCTGCATGTGATTAATCCCCGAAGTGTTTTATCGTCACCTTCAATGACCAACCTTGAATTACAGTTATGTGATGAGATAATTGTGAAGCAGTCATTAATAATATTGATTTTGTGACCTGTCATTAATAAGTGTTCTGCAATGGATGATGATGATGATGCTGGACTTCTATTCAAATTAATGAATGCATTGGGATTTTCTATATGACTTAGTAGCCATTTCGGAAGATGTTCTTTTCGACCACGACATTGGAACATTCTGTTGATTCTACCTGTATAGGTGTCACCACAGCTGCTTCTCTGATCCCCAGCTTACATTAACATTAACTTCTTGTTTTTAATCAATATCACTCACAATTTAAAATGTTATATATACAGAACAAAATACTAAGAGCGCACAATTGTCGCTTTCAATAAATTCCTCTTCTTCTTCAGGCTCTACAATCATAAATCCATTAATTTAATTTAAGCATACAATAGCCAGCCAGCCAGCCAGTTAGTCAGTAAAGGCAAATTAGAATCATATCAGAAAGTGTGTATTGTGTGGAACAAGGATAAGATACCAAAAGCCTGAATGTAAAGGGAAAGAAAGAAAATGATGTCACTGGATGTAGCATCATTATTCAACAATGTCTCATTGCTCGAAACAGTCAACTACATATGTGACCAACTGATAGAACGAAAGATAGATGTAGGAATCCCATCAGAAAAGGTCAAAGAATTATTATTGAAATGCACTATGAATGTTCAGTTTATGTTCAATAAAGGTTTTCATAGACAAGTTGATGGTGTAGCCATGGGATCACCTCTGGGCGGTATGCTAGCGGATATTTTTCTGGCAAAGCTTGAAAGTGGTCCACTCAAAGACACGATTAAAGGGCTTGATTACTATTGTCAATATGTAGATGATACCTTCATCATTTGTGGTAGAAATCTTAATAAACAAGAGCTTCTGAGTGCTGTTAACAGTGTTCACCCAGCTATTCGGTTTACAATATCAGTTTACCTTGATTAGACGTCCTGCTTACCATGAAGACAGACGGATATCTGCAAGGGAAATTATTTAGAAGGAAAACTTGGATGGGTCAGTACACCCATTTCCATAGCTTCACACCGATTCGGCACAAAAGAAACTTAGTTAAGAGTCCTAGCTACAGAATAAAATGCATATGCTCAGAGGAGTGCATCAAGGAAGAAATGTATGAACTGAAACTTACACTGCAAGAAAATCGATATTCAGAGAACTTCCTAAAAAAGTATATGTCAATACCTAGAGACAGGATAAAAGTGGATACTGTAGACAAGAAACATTTGTATCATAAGTTAAGTTACAAAGGGGAAATTGCAGCTGACATTCTAAAATGTTGATTTAAAAGAACAGTAGAAAGAACATTTCCTGCAGCTAAACTGGCACTCAACTTCTCAACTAAACCAGTACTCACACAGCAAGTGAAGGTTAAATTGCCAAAGATGACCTCATCAATGTGAATTCAACTGCTCATGTGGAGCTAGTTACATTGGCCGTACTCAGAAGGCTTTATCCATGCGCGCACGTGAACATGTACCTGTATGTTTGAGTAAAGGGATAACCAAATGCGTAAATAGCGCTGCAGTCTTAGCCCACTTGATAGAACTCCTGGTCAAGTTTTATCTGGTCTCCAGTTTGTGAGTTATTTACCGCGTTCCTAGTAATTTATCTAGAGCAGCTCGACTACGTCTTCTATCAGTAGCTGAAGCGGTTGCAATTAATACCAGAAGACCAACTCTCTGCATTCAGAAGAAGTATGTTCAACCTCTATGTTCACCTTGGACTACAATAAAGCCGACAAATCCTGCATAAACATTAACACTATAAATTCCTTTCACAATTTTCTTTTCCTCTCTTGTCTTCTTCTATTCCTCTGTTTCATTCATTGACAAACGTTCATTTTCGACTTTCCATGATTTCATGATCCTTCTTATAATTTTATTACCTTAGGTTTAAGTAGTGTGCTTTTCTAACTTGTTATCGTATTTACAAAATCCTGTCCATTCCACTTCATTATATTCATTATTATTATTTGACAATCATTCACCAATAGTGCTTGTAATTTTACACCATATCATCTTTATTATTTTACAATCATTCTTATTGTCGTTGTTTTCAACCTTGAACGTATGTCTAGACCACCGCATTCGTTGGTTTATTTTCATATTTTCAAGTATTGATTTTGTAGGGATTTTGTTTTGGTTACATGGAGAATTTCATCATGAGCTGACATCAGTTAGAAAACCACTGGAAAACCTGGGAGTACTGGACAGCTGTTTCATGCTAGTTTGCGACTCTTCAGAAGTACGCACCCACCGCCAGCGTTCGAACGCAGGACCTTCTGTTTACAAGGCGAGCTCGTAGACCATTGAGCCACTGGACCCGATCCAGTGGTTCTTGAATTCTAACTTCTGCCAATTCACGACATAGCGCGACCGTTTCGCGATGTCTTTTTCGATGAGTTACTGCCTTATCTTCCCCGGTTTTCCAGTGGTTCTCTAACTGATTTCAGCTCACGATGAAATCCTGCATATTTTCATATTGTCTCACACACACTCTGATTACACTCACTCTCGAAACCTGTATTTTTCTGTTGACTATATTTCCATATATGTATATACAGACATCATTAAAATTAAATTACTTCACCTCATTTGGTCCCATGTTCTCATTGATCATGCATATTAAAAAAAACTAAGTGACTATTGTTCCATCCCACCCCATCTTATCCTTGTTCCACACAATACACACTTTCTGATATGATTCTCATTTGCCTTTACTGACTGGTTGGCTGACTGGCTATTGTATGCTTAAATTAATTAATGGATTTATGATTGTAGAGCCTGAAGAAGAAGAGGAATTTATTGAAAGTGACAATTTTTGTTCGCTCTAACTCTATTTTGTTCTGAATAAATTATGAGAATATTCAATTTACTGAAATATTCATTAATAAAATTTACGATTTCATTTCTATCTAGTTTACTTAACAGGCATAGCATTCACATGTTTCAGTCGAGGTAGCACCATCGGTCGTGTAGAGAATAAGACGTGTAGTTCGCTGTCAGCATTAAAAGTTCTTTGAGATGCTTTTCCTAATTTCTTCGTAATTATCTCACTTGGTATATCGATCGCCCTTGAATATTGCAGTCGTATATAAAGTGGCTTCTCTGTTTTCATCTTTCATTTTTTCAAAGAAACCAATCAAATCAGTACCACAAAAGCCTTCTCCATTTTGGGTAGGTTCTTCAGAATCATCTTTCAATTATAATTACAATTACACACAACGAAGTCGTCAACGAACTGTTTTGCGCAAAAAAGGCACAAAACTGGTCGACATTAATTCTTCTTCTATAGCAGAAGAAATACCTAGGGAGATTATTTCAATGAAGTCAGCAGCCGTTGTTGTTTATCCCTGTCCTTACTGTCCACGTCAACTGCGTAATTCAAATCTACTCAGCGCCCACATTGCCAACTATCATCACAAAAGTGCATCTAGGCCTACGAAATCATCTATATCAGCAGTTTTACAAAAACCATTTACATCGTGGGTATCTAAGCCGGATTCAGCAAATAATTCCAGATCGCTTTCAAAACGAAAACCAAAGTAACTTGTTTTTTCTTTTTTAATAGGTGTCATTTTGTCGGCTTTCTTCATGTTAGAAACGATTTAAATAAAATATTCATTCAGACGTCTATAAAACATTAAAATAATTGAGCCAAGCAGAAGAATATCCCCTTTTCGATAAATTCCTCCTCCTCCTCCTCCTCCTCTTCTTGTTCTACAATTATATCTATATATGCATATGTTTATATATACATAGAATATTCTAGATTCGTAGTAGTCAATAACAATATTAGTGTGCTTTTTAAATTATAATATCGATTTGTAAAGTAAGATCACAATGGAATCACCACCGTAGTTCATTAAAGATGCCTAAATTATAATAATAATAAGAAGAAGATATAGTAGGAAATAGAATATCAACTAAAATTAGGAAAATTCCACAAAAATTTAGGATCATTGACACCCGGATGGATGGCCAAGCGGGTAAGGATAACTCATGTCTGAACCAACCAACTTCTTTTCGACGCACAAATTAGGCTTGTTAATCTGGATCCCAACAACCATCTTCAGCAAAAATCAAAATAAAATCTTATCTATAATGGAGTTATACTCAACCACCACAGTGTCCAAGTTTTATAATTATACCAACTGCAGCAGATGGTTGTCTGAAGAAGCGGCCACTTTGCTTGCAAACCTTTGACTTGATTGAAGCCTTATTCATCAGGCAGTGAGTGGAACTGTCTGTCTGTCTGTTTTCGACATAGAACTTTGCACAAATGTGCGGAAGTTCAAGTCGCCTCACTCCGTGTAGCACGCGAAGCAAGAGAAGAAAGTACAAGAAAAGCATAATAGAAACAGTGAGCAGAGGTGTGAGACAAAGGAGTAATAAAGAATAACGAAACAGTTTGATTGGAGATGATAAGTCACAAGGAGTGGATGCATCTGCGCCACTGAGAACGATTTTGAGCCATGTCACCAATTGTTTCCAACCATAGATTTTTACCGTCCCGAGAACCCCAACCGGTCAGGAAGTCTACACCTTCCTACGTGGCTTAGACCAACTGTTGTGGATTTCATTGACTGGTGCCAAGTTTTTGTTTGACCGCCGCTAGCTTTTTTCTAGCCTGACCCTATATCCGCTAACATTGCTCGTCGAGGGAGGCGATGACTTGTAATATGTCCTAACCATCTCAGTCTTTGTAGCTTCACGACTTCGTCGATTGATTTCCCCTGTTTACCTAGAACTCTACGCCTAACCTCAATGTTGCTCACCTTATTATGCCCTTTTACACGGGAAATAGAGCGCAGGCACCTATGATCAAAGACAGCTAGTCTTTTCATGTCTTTTCATGTGAGTGGAACTGCGTTCTGATGGTTGTCTCAGTGACGGAAACAGGTTGAAATTCGCCATGCGATCCGTTCAAGATTCTGTAGCCCCTCTTACACCACACTGGGAATCCAAGTTTTCCAACTCCCATAGGCGGGAAAGCGACATGTTCACCAGTTTGACTGTAAGTGCTAAACTTTTCCATTTGCACTCTCATCTTTGTGTGGATCCTGTAGAAGTAGAAATGTGAATTTTGACTACAAAAAGTAAAAGTGAAAAAGTTGAAAGATTTTATTGGAGAAGAGAATTTTCTCTGAATTTATCTACCTATCTTCTTACTCTCTGTAGTGTAGCAGAAATTTTTATGTCCAAGATTCCTAAGGTTCCAGAAGGTCCTGGGTTCGAAACCCGCGGTGTGGATGTGTACTGCTGAAGAATCCCAAACTAGGCTGACGAAATATCTGGCTGTCCAGTACTCTGTGCAGGTTTTCCAATGGTTCTCTAACCAAATGGTGTCAACTCATGATGAAATCCTGTAAGCTACTACTGATTTGTTTGTTAAAGACGTCAGAGACTCGAAATTAGTACTGTCCGAATTATGCACTAAAGTTACCTAATTGTCGCCTCTATAGTGGTGTATATTTTTAAAAATTTGATACAACTCTGTTTTGTTACTTGAAATTCTGGTTTTTTTCATCTTTGGTAACGAATATACGACTTAAACTACCATATTTTTTTTTATAGACGCTGTGACACATTTATCTGAATTCTGTCTGTTTTCGACATAGAGCTTTCCACCGATGTTCAGCAGTTCAAGTTGCCACACTCTCTCCTCCTTGTAGCACACAAACCAACAGAAGAAAGTAGAAGAAATGCATAATGGAGAGACAGTAAACACAGGTGTGACACAAAGGAATAGTAATAACGAAGAACAATATAGTTTCATTGGGTATTATAAGTCACAAGGAGTAGATGCATCTGCACCATCATCAAAAACGATTTTGAGCCATATCACCAATTGTATCCAGCCCTCATTGGTTTTTACCGTCATCCCGAGGACCCTAACCAGGAAGTCTGCACCTTCCTACGTGGCTTAAACTAACTGTTGTGGATTTCATTGACTGATGAGGTCATGTTTTGGTTTGACCACCACTGGCTAGCTCTTTTCCAGCCTGACCAATCCTATGTCAGCTAACATTTCCCATTGTCGAGGAGGTCGATGGAATGCAAGGCATACGTATCACATTCCGTAACCATCCTAGTCGATGTAGCTTCACAGCGTCGTGGATTGATTTCCCCTTCCACCTACCTAGCACTTGACCGATTCCTCACCTCAATACTGCTCGCCATATTATGTCACTTCACACGGGAGACAGAAAGCAGGCACCTCTGATCGAAGGCAGCTAGCCAGGCTTTTCATGTCTCCCACTCTCAATGACCAGGTCTCAAAGCCAGTCATAAGGGAGGACGGAGCGTACTCCTGAGCAGTATACCCGCCTTTTCGTCAATAGTCAGCCGGATATCACGTTTACTAAGCAAGAGAGACATCGTGAACTGGCAAGCGTATGCGAAACTAGTCCTCTGTATCCGTACTCACTCAGCTGAGATTTCGTCAGAGATCATCCCGTTGACACTGACTGGCTGATGGTACTTTCCAAATAAGTGAAGCAGTCAATGCGCTCCACCAACCACTTCACTCCCCATTATTATTATTATTATCATATAAATTCAGTGTTGTCGATGTGTCCATAATTTTGGTTGTGTTGTTTTTTTGTTGGTTTTCAGAGATGTTTCAAACGCTGATGCGTCGTCGTCGTCGTCATCAAGTGCACATAAATTCACTCGCCTGCTTACTTGTTACCGATGCAATACACGTACAATCTATGTCAGTGAAGAAGAAGAAGAAGAATCTGGTCTTGTGCAGTGTTCTCATTGTCTGCGTTGGCTGCACTGTCCCTGTTATGGATTCCCGTTGAATATGGTGGATCCATTGGTCGCTAAAACACTTAAATTCCCTTTCTCTTTTATCTGTGATGCTTGTCGCATGGCTTTACGCCCAGTCAGAAGATCTCGTAAAAATGAATGGCTAAGTAGTGGTAGTAGTAATAGTGGTCTGCTACAATCACCCAGTGGTTGTTCAGAATATACTCAACGGGATTTATTAACACAGGTGATTTCTGTTTTGAATAAAACCTGTCAGTTGCGTCCGTTAATTCAATCTGGTCAGTATATACTGACTAAATCATCACTGCCTCATTGTACATATCAAACTAAACAAGAAGCAGAAGAAGGAACAACTAAGTGCAAAACTGCTGCATGTCAAGATTCATTGGAGTTAACGGAATTTGAAAGTTTGAAATTGTGTAAAACTACTACTACTACTACTACTACCACCACACAACAACATACAAACTTCGATTCGCATACACCTGAAGATCAAGTGAATCGTGAGTTTTTCTCTTTTAAAATCTTTATCCTGGTTTTTCCCATTGATGATGGTGCCGGGTTCAGGGTGATCAAGAGAAGAGTGCTCTGACCCCGGGTGGAGGCTCACCATTGCACCTTGGTGGGTTGAAACTCGCGACGGACCCTAATCGGGTGCGCTCAGACGTGTAGTTTCTGTCAGTGGGGAGGCCTCATGATCCTCCCTTTATTGAGTCGGGGGTATAGCTCAGTGGTAGAGCATTCGACTGCAGATCGAGAGGGTCCCCGGTTCGAACCCGGGTGCCCCCTACACTTTGTGCTTCAGGGGCACAATGGTTAGGACCCTCGCCAACGATGCACAGGGTCCGAGGTTCCATTCCCTGCCGACGCACACTTGATATCTATGGTCGGCCTGCAAAATTTGGGCTACCAATATCAAATGCTGAAAATTCCATACTTGTGCCAAAAATACGGTGTGGAATCAAGTTGTAAACAAAAATAAATAACTGATGATGATTCGTCTACTGATCGATCGACTCTCGAAGATTTCGTCGCTTTTCCAGATTACTGTCTATTTGTCTGTCTGTTTTCGACATAGAACTTTGCATCGAGGTGCAGCAGTTCAAGTCGCCACACTCCATAAGACAAAGTTGAGTAAGGATTAGAGAGGTTTCGTGTGCATTTCGGATTGTTAGAGCGATTGTTACTTCCCGGCTGCCCACACCGTGGAAGTTGGTTGCGTGACCGCAGAGCCCAGGGGACAACTGCTTGAGGCCGGTCACATGCGGCCTGTTTTTGTTTGTTCTTTATTGTTTGGTGTGTCTCAGTAGGATATTTATCACTTCTGCCCTGTGACACGGCAGCAGGAGGTGCGGTCGTTGTTAATTCGGGCCCCAACCGATATGGCATGATATATTGTGAATTTGTTTGAATCATGGTATTGGATTGGGTAGCTGCTTTTTGTCTAACCGCTATCCAAACAACCTGCCTGGCATGGTAGGATCTCAAGCGACATAAGTATCAACCAGTATAGCTTGTTGGGTCATTGTGGTGTTCAAGCCCGACCACCACGTCAAGGTAGCAACTTTCGGTCGTGGTAGAGTGTAATTCCATTATGGGTAAATTTTGTTTTGTTAAAGTCTCACAGTGTTATACAGTAATGTTTACTAATAACCACGTTTCGACCACAATTTATTGCTCATAATCATACCAAGGCACTACTCAGACGACTTCCTAACCTCATTTATATAGTTCCATTATTTTTCACTTGATTTGATTGGTAGTAGTATTTTCCATATTTCGGGTATGAGTGATGAATCATTCCTATTGCATGTGTTTGGTGTAGACTCGATGAACCAGGAAGGATTCAGTAGTCAATCTCTCTCTCCCCATCTACCTAGATTACTTTTTGGAATTTTAACCCTCCAATTTTAACCCACCATGCTAATGTGTGGTTGTGTGTTAATGCATACAGTGCAATACAATGTTGAGCTTTTTTCTGAATCACTCATCTTCTCGGGTGGGGTCAACCATTCACAATCACAACCAATCACCTCCAAGGTCACCAGGAGAGATGAATAATAAACTCGTGGAGAAATCTAAAAGCTCACTTCAAATTGAAGTATGCTCTGAAGATGTCACCTAATAGAGTGATGAAAGCTTCGCAAATCAACTATCCAGCTCAGAAAACACAACCACATAAAAATCATTCTTCTCTTAGCCACTAAATTCTTATGTTCCGATAATCTGACTACCCCCGACCTACTAGTTTGACCTATACAGCTGACCTAACTCATTGCAGGCTCTTTTGTGAATTATATTATTTTGTCTAATTGGGCCAACCGACAGGGGTCCTTTAACCTACACAGCTTGTTCTACCTGAGTGAGTTTGTAGGTTTAAATGCCACCCTAATTCTTGCTTCATTTAGAATCCTACGTAGGGTTTCAGATGTCCCCTCCTTATATGGTATAAGTGTAGATGACTTATATTTTCTCTCTTATTTATGTTATTATCAAGTTATCAAATGATAAACAATGGAACTATATAAATGAAGTTAAGAAGTCGTGTGATCACCTTGATATGATTATGAGGAGCAATAAATTGTTATCGAAACGTGATCATCAGTAAACATTACTGTATAACAACACTGTGAGACTTTATCAAAACAAAATTTACCCGTAATGATAGATCGACTCTGGTGAAATTTCGTCGCTTTGCTAAATTACTGCCTGTCTGTCTGTTTTCGACATACAGCTTTCCACCGATGTGCAGCAGTTCAAGTCGCCACCCTCCACAAAGTATATTATATGTATACTCCCAGGTTTTCCAGTGGTTCTCAAACTGATGTCAGCTCATGATGAAATCCTAATTCCATATTAGTTTGTTTATTAGATATGCTCAAGACTACGCAAACAATAAGGAATATAAATCATCAGCAGTAATTTCATACAAGAAAGGAACCTTGGAAACCACCTTACATAGAATTCTTAACAAGGCGGGCAAGAATAAAAGTGGCCGGTATTCAAACCAACCACAAACTCAATTAGAAACAAGCTCTGTCAGTTAAACCATCAATCCTGTGGAGCCTTTAAAACAAAAGAATTAAGTTTATCTAATACCCTGTGTGAGATGATTGTCAAGTCAAATACATAGGTCAAACTAGTAGAACAGGGTCAGTGAGTCGGACTAGCCAAGCAGCATATAAATCTAGTAGCAAAATCTAGATTGGTTGACCCAAACAAGATAAGAAATCTACAGAATAGTTGAGCAGCTATCGCAAACACTACATGCAATTACACACAATCTACTATTCAATAGGCTGGATGGGATAAGATGACAGTTTTAAAATCTAATATCACAGGGTGGCGAATGGGGAAGATTGATAACAGAAGCTTTGTTTATCGAATCAACTGAGAGAATACGTGTAATAGGAATAATTCAACACCTGTGCACCCAGATATATCTGGAAAATTCTGCTACCACGCCCACGATGGCAAATAGGGGAGAACAGAGAAAACCATAAAACACAAGTTTCGAAGTCGTGTGATTATAATTGGTGATTTGTATGATTATGAACACCAATAAGTGAATTGTGTTCGAAACTTTGTCATCCAGTAAATAATACTGTTTCACTGTGTGATATATCAGTCTAATAAACAAACTAATATGGAAGTGCATCGGTTTTGGTGTTGATGAATCTTTAAAAAGGTGAAAAGAACACCAAGTTACGAAATAAAGTTGCTGTTTCCTGTGAGGATCAACAATACCTGTTGATTGTTCTTTGAACTCAGTAAATTATAAAAACAATCGCAACAACTATCAAAGAAAAGCAGCAGTATTTAGTGAATTCATAATTGTTTTTTTTGTGTGGGAGTATTCAGCTGAAGAGTTCTACCGAAATTGATGAACTCAATAAATACATCTTTATTCACAGTTGTTATTGTTGGTGCAAAAGTGGAACTGTCCAGACAAAGTTAGATATAATTTACCTATGCGTATTTACTGATTGTGGTTGAACTACGGTCGACTGTTGAGAGTGTGAGAAGACGGGAATATGCGTTGGCCTTTTAAAAATACTCTCTTTAATATCTATATTTCGTGGATGATTTATGTCTCCGCACATTTCACAAACTCGAAGACATACAATACTACATGAATAAAATCTGGGTACTGGCATAGTACGCAATTCGTGTGAAAAGGTTATGGTGATGATGAGTGTAGAGCTTTGTGTACTTTTGTGTGTGTGTGTGTGTGGTTGGGTGGTCATTACTTGGTCATTACCTGGTATACACACACTGTGGAGGTTGATTTTTCCTTGAAACAGGAGAAATACTCAAGTTACGTGCGTGACCACCAAAACCCAAGGGACAACTACTCGAGGCGAGGCCAAGGTCAGCCAGAGGGGGTGCTGTTTGAATTTGTTTTTTTCAGTTGAAGTCGCGTAATGAAATCTTACCGTCATAAGGTGATAGTTCGAGATGTATAAATTTTTTGGGCTGACTTTTTCCAACCCCCATCTCTGAAGCAGAGTGGAGAGACAGCAGCATAGCTGGCTGGCATGCTGGCCATCTGAAGGAAACAGCTTACTGTTGACGTGACATCCATATCATCCGCCAGCAGTACGGCTTCACCCACAGGTCAGTAATATCATACAATGAAATTCCCTTTTATAAGTTTGAACAAAGAAAGAAGAAACATTGGCGCGCAGAATAATCTGGATCCATTTTATTTCGTCGGTTCTGATCACCAGCTGCGTACAACCTGAATTCTTTAATAAAATAAAATAAAAAGTGTACAATTTTAACAAACTTTTGTCCATTTCCAAGCATATTGTCACAGCGTCATAGTGAAATAAGGCGTTGCGATTTACAAGGTGTCTAAAGTGTTACGACATATATACATATATCTTATTGGAGAGAAGTTTCTTGAAAGAAAATTAATTAACAGTTGTGTTGTTGGGGTGGTAACAAAAAATATTAGTAATAGTTACGTAATTACGTAAGAGAAGATCGAAATTTCGGTGCACATGAGGTCAGATGAGTTGTTGATGTCATACAGTGAGCAGAACTCAGAAGATCAAGAAAAAATTATCTCTTAAGAGAGTCAAGCGAAAAATAAAGCGGGTTGGGGGTAGGGGGAGTGATTAGATAAGTTAACAAAATTAGAAGTGAGTCTCCAGGGTAATTGAAGTCCAGCAACAACGGATTCATTTTGGACACATAAGTCAGACAGGCTTCAATCATTTTTTATTGCTGTAGCTTCAGGAAACCTGAGAAAACCTGAGGTACTACTTTGTCTGTTAATTTTGTTATTTTGAATGATTCCAACACATCTACTCGGTGCTGTCTTGTGTCAATCAGGTGTTTGGCGTTTGGCGATTGAAGAACTTAAACAATTCGGTCCCTTTAACTAGAGGCTCTTTGATACATGTTCGCGAAATATGACGTAGGCCCTCGTCTCTCTCTTCTTCCAATGTAACTGATCCCACAAATACATGTGAATTGGTATACACAGTTGGAGGTAACATGTTAGGGGTACTTGTCAATCTTTGAATGCACCAGTGAAGAGGTTGTTCGCGGTAGAGAGACTAATAATGGTGCAGGATACGTCCTAGACAGGGCTGCACTCTTGTCATATTTGTTGTTGATGAGACTTAGTGGATAATATGTTCAGCAAACAAACTAGACGGTGAACTAATGCTTCTTGAAAAATGCTTGAAAGAATATGGTTACGCACAATGTTTCAACAAATATGGCAATCGTAAAACCTTTCTGGTATGGTAGTAGTCCAGTTATCAGAATAGAGTAGTAGTTACTCGCAGCTGTTATATACTTTTATTGGATATAAAAGATTATGCATGATAAATTAAACCTTACCTTACCTTTATAGGTCTCTACATGGAGTTACGAGGCATAGCATTTGGAGAGATATGTGAATCATCCAATGGGGAAAGCGGTCTCGCCAACATCATTGATATTTCCCAAGTTCCAATTGATAATAATAATAATAGTAATCATACATTCCCTATTCCTCCGGAATCGGAATGTTGTCCTAACACCAGTTGGGTATTAGAGGACGAAACTGTTGTTAACCCTGCTGTTCATCCTTACCATCAGGCGACTGATGATCCTGTTTACAGTATGGGATCACATGATCTGTCCGGACTACTCCAAGAACTCGGCGCTGATATCATTCCGGAAATTTCAAATCTTAGCGTCGTCGTTGGTGGAGTAGTGACCAATGATCAAAGTACTCTCAACTGTCGTCCTACTACTACGCCTACTGCATATGATGACCATTTGGAGCAGAGTAAACAGTTCCCTTCTTTATGCGATTCGCTCAGTCTGTCTTCACTCACCCCTGACAAACATATCATCAGCCAGTCGGCATCATCTACAGCATCCAAGGAACAAATTTTAAATCATCATCATAGTGAAGAAATTTTAGCTATGTAAGTGGTTGATTTTACACATTTTGTTTTCCGCGTATTGATTGATTCACAAAAGATAATACATAGAGAGAGGATAACATAATTTATTATTATTCCCTTAAGTTCTTAGTGAAACATTGGGCTTCAACTGCACGTCTCCACTTGCTGCTGTCTTCTGCTGTACTTTTCACCTGCATCATCCGTGTTAGTCCATACTGTTTCAACTCCTCTTCACACGATCTCCTCCATGTCATCCTCGCGCTGATGTCCCACTCGCCGCTTCCCTTTCTGTCGGGTTCCACTCGAGCAATGGGCAGACACGCGCGCGATGTCACTCGGTGGGGGCCTCCTCAGCGAATGTCCAATTCATCCCCACTTTCTCCTGCATATTCTTTGGTTGGCGATCCGTATAGAAGAACTGACTGACTTGACGTTGTTTGTATTGAAAATCCGACTGAATTTTGTTGTTGATGCTGGCTGAGTGACGAAGATTTCCAGATCGGTTTCAGGTTGATGAGTGAATGTGTTTCTCGCCCACCACCCGATTCTCGCTCGATTTGACATCGTCCGTTCCGACTGCCTGTAGTCGAGACAGTGCTCCCTAGATAAGTAAGTGAATGAAGTCACCTCTTTCAAATACCTCCCATCGATGGTGATTGGCGCTGGATGTTGCTGCTGTTGTTGTTGTTGTTGGTTGGTTATTTTCATCACCTCCATCTTGTCTATGTTCACTTGGAGTCCTGTCTTTGCTGCTTCTTCGACCAGTTTGTCGGTTTTCGCTTTTAAGTCTTCGATTTTGTGTGACATCAAACATAAATCATCGCCGCGCGAAATCCAGGTCTTCTAGGTTCTTCGCGTCGGTCGGTCCAGGATATCCCTGTTTTCTCGTTTCCCACTGTTTGGAGAAATAGTGGAATAGGATTAATGTCAGTAAAAAGTTTGAGCATTGTGGAATAGGTGAAGTAAAGTATAATTATATTTCAATAGTTTACACACAATGATAAGTTTTTTGTTTATTAGTAATCTATACGAAAATCCCAATTCAAACGGCCATGAAGAATCCACTAAAAGAGAAACTAAAAGAAGATAATGGCTTAAAAGGCAGAACACAGTTATCCGTAGAAGAGATGACAATAAATGGGCTGGAATTCTGTCTGACAACAACGTATTTCACATTCGAAGAGAAAATATACCAACAAAATGAAGAAGGAGTAGCTATGGGATCACCCATCTCACCAATAATAGCTGACAACATATTCGTGGATTATTGGGAACAGAATGCCCTTAAACCATTCAGGTCATCATTAAAATGTTGGTGGAGATATGTAGACGACACACTAGTAATAGGGAAAATAAAAACGATATTGAGAAACTCTTCTAACACATAAACAGCCACGTCGACTCAATAACATTCACAATATGGAAATAGAGAATGAAATTGGGGAACTGCTTATGTTAGACTACAAAGAATAACAGATGGTAGCATAAAAACCACGTTAGCTATCTACAAAAACTACTCACTCTCCAAGATTCCTTCATTATCATCACTCAGCTCATCCACTCACCGTACAACGAGGATTAATACAAGCTCTTGCAGATAGAATACGTAGACTTACAACAACACCAGAGGACCAGCGTAAAGAAATAAAAGTCCTATTCAAAATGTTACTCGAAAACAACTACCCTAAAGAATTTATAAAAGATAATATAAAAAAGAGAAAAAAGAGGGTAAAACCGGAGAATAACAAGATGGAAAAACACAGTCACAATACCATATAAAAATGGTACATCAGAGGCAATTCAAAGAAACCTCAAAAATATGGGCATCCGAACAACGTTTAAACCGACGAATCTAATCAAAAATAAAATAAATCCACTGACAGATCTGATAAAAATGATGGATAAAAAACAATTTGATTTACAAACAGATATCTTGTGCTGACTGACTGTCCGACTAAATATGTGGGTCAAACACGTCTAGATCACTCAAAATAAGAGTGAATGAACAGAAACGCCTAGCCAAAGGTCAACCAACAGGAAGGAACACAAACTTAAAAGAATTTAGAAGCGAATTCATCGATAGCTGCACATGCATGGCACATAAACCACAATATCCATTGGAAGAACAATGGATCTATTCGAAAAACTAATATCAACAAATCGGAAGGGAGACAGACTACTACTAATAACAGAATCTATTGTATATTCAATAAGGTCATACCGGATACATGTAACAAAGATGAGTACTCAACACCACAACTCTCAACAACCTGGAATACAATTCTCAATGCACAAAAATCAATGAACTATATGTATATGAGTACAAATCATAAATGTGTGTGTTCAAACAAAACAATTCCAAAAGTGGTGTGAAGACGGGCAGTAGTAATTTTCCTCGAAATATTACCAATAAAAAACTTATCATACTGTGTAAACTATTGAAATATAATTGGACTTTATTTTAGCGAAATAGGAACTGTAGAATTTGGTGGTATAGTAATAGAACAGGAAGCCGTGCAAATGCTGCACTAATACGTCATACGCTTTGCCTAATAATCAATATCTGTCTATAGTTGTATGTGATTGAACGACACCATCTGTATTTCCTCAACCCCCCTCCCCCGATAGTCAATGAGAAAGGGTATGCATGAATCATCACCGTCCCATTGTCTGGTTATTCGCTACTTTTCTTTTTAATGGATACCCAACTGACCTGGCTGATGAACCAGGTGGAGAATGATTCAAACGCGCTATCTATCCACCGATTGAGAGTCAAATCTTTGAACAAGTGAGGCATATCTCTATGCCTAGAAGTAGTTCACGAGGACAAATGATGTTCCTTCTCAAGTAGATGAAATGATCAGTGTGCTCTGCCATTCCCCCCCCCCCTTCCTGCTCATTAAAAATCAGAAAGCGCATCAGTGATATTTATATACCACTTTGTGGTGTTGTACTTTATACTTTAAGAATTGTGTAGGCATCCGACACCTTAGTCATTGTCATTTTATCCAAAACAACCAAATGACTATCTTCTGTTTTCCATACACCGCCTAAGGGGTCTAAAAGACCCGGTAGACCCAACTAAACAAAATAATAGAACTTACAAAATACCCTTCAATGGCTGTGAGTTAGGTCAACTGCATAGGTTAAACTATAAGATCGGGGGAAATCGGATTGTCGAAATTGTTATGTACTAGTTTCCCCGTCGCCAAATTGTTATGTACTCGTCGACTAGATTATTGTTATGGACTGGTCGAGAAACTAATAGTCATGACGCGAGAAGGCGGAAATCAGAAGACCACTAGGTTTGCGATGATACTTCTATTGTCCAAACACAAGGAGACGAAAATAAATGGTCTCACACCAAAGTGATAAGTAAGTAAAGTAGTTCACACAAATTGTGAGAACGAAATATATATATATATAGCAGACATGTCAAACAACCATATATGGATATATGTCACTAAGCAACGGACTGTCAACACACTCTCATATTATATATAATATAATATAAGAAGAATAAACATTGTTAAAGGAGACAAGTTCACACAAGTGAAATGGTCACAGACTAACCGAGCAAACAGAAAGAGAGATCACCATACACACACATACACACATAAATATATATATGTGGATACATATCAGAAACATAAGAATTTAGCTAAGGTAAGAATGGTTGACCCCGACAAGATCAGTAATTTAGAAAACAGCACTCAGCACTACATTGCACTGTATGCACTAACAACACACAACCACACAATAGCATGGTGGGAGACGGTTGAAATTCTAAAAATTAATCTAGGTAGGTGGAGATAGAGAGTGGTTAATTACTGAATCCTGACTGGTTCATCGAGTCTGCACCCAACACACCACATGCAACAGAAATGACTCAATGCAAATACCAGAAATATGCATGGAAGATATTATTATCGCCAGTCAGTCAGTCAGTCAGTGAAATCAGAGGAGGATAATAAATAATCTTAAATTGTATTCTATTTCAATTCAATTCACATACATCACCACAACATTCCAACAAGTCACTCACTTATTTTGTAATTGATCACTCATAACACTCATATTGTCATTATTATTATTATTTGTGAATGTACATTATCCTATATTACTGATTTGTATTCAAATGTCTAATCATGGATTCCACACATGTGTATAAATGAAAGAAAATAGTTGTGTTGATAACTTGATTTGATTATGAGTGGCAATAGTTTGTGCTCGAAATGGCGTGTGGTCGCATCAGTTAATGTTATTGTATAACACACTACATTGTGTGACACTTTATCAAAATAAAATCTTATCCATAATGGCCTACAGGGTCCCTGTGTGTGGTGCGTGTCTGCGTAAATATACCTGTCTGTCACTAAGTCGAATAAAAGTGAAAAGAAACTAGTCAACACTTCTCAATATAACGTTTCAGATCAGCTTTACTATTGTTCACTAAAAAACAAAATAATAATAGTTTCTCTTGACGCGAATCTAAAGTATTTTATGTCATTTTCTTATCGATTTTCCCCTCTGTTATTTTTCTCGTTTGTTTTCATCGACCCCCCCCCCCCTCCTGTGTGATCCTTTCCACCATCGGCATAAATCAATAGAGAATCGAAGTGCACTTCTACTCCGTCGACTACACCTACAAAAATCCTAATGAGTCAATTGAATTCAGCTGTCGAAGCTGATATTATGAATTTACCGATTCCAAGTTGTGCAAGATCAATCATCTCCGATTTACTAAAAAGTCCTTTGAGTGATGACTTCATAGCGCCGCCAGTTTGTGGTGTTCGACAGTCGTCGCCTGAACCAAAAGCAGCTACTGGTAGTGGTAGTGGTAATTTGAGTGTTTCATGTGAGTATCTTTATTGTTGTTGGTTTGTCTGATATGTGTAATGTTGTGTATCATTATTATTGTTAATCACTATTATTGTTTATCTTTGTTGATAAACAATATTATATGCTGCTTCAATGTCTAAATTATACCCATTGAGTCATGTAGAAAATAAAAGAAAAATTCAACGAAGACAATGCTTCTTCATTGACGAAATCATCTTCCTTCACAGCCTGACTTGGCTGTACAGTCGTATTTATACTCTCCAAATATATATAGTGGTCTATTATCGAGTAATAGGGGGGGGGGGAGGTGAGATAATTGATATAATTACTCAGAAGTGGCTTTAGAAGTAAAAAAAAATATTAAAAGTTGTAAATTACGTAGTACTCAAAGGCACAAACATAGAAATTTGATAAGGTTTAAATTGCTATTGAGTGAGTGAGAGTAAAGGTGGTAGAGTTGAGTGTCAATTTAACAAGTGTGTCACGAGAGGGTATGAAAATGTACAACAGGAAGCATATGAGAGTGATATAACAGTGAATTAATTATTAAAGCAAAAGCAAACTAAAAGTAGAATTAGAAATTAAAAGAAGAAGAGAAAAAACCAAAATTTTTTACAGGGAACGATTAGTGAAGAGGTTAAGACCAAGGTAGAATAAGACTGGACAAACTTTTTGTCTGTATACAGAGTTCGGGGTTGTATTGACAAATTGCCAGCGCCTCCGCCATGCACAAAAGCCGAAACCTGACGCTCTTTGTACCATTTGGCTTCACCTTGTAGATGATCTTGCAAGACGACTCCGGTGGAGCTACGTGGCCTGAGTTCACCAAATGCTCGAGAGTTGAGCTAGTAATTGTCTTGCATTGTCCTTTTACTAACCTAACGCGTCAGATAATGTTCAGAGATGCGTATGTGAAGTGTTCGCCAAGTTGTCCGGGTGACCAATATAACTAGCTCTACACAAGCAGGTGAATTTATAAACACACATTGAGGCGGCCTGTCCAAAGCGGCAGTTTATCCTACACACATCTATTGATCATTTGTCGGCTGTAGAAATTGATGCGTAGCTCAGCCCCATAGAGAAGGCTTTCGCGAGTGATCTGCATAAGCAGAGATTTCTCAGGATCTCAGCTGCGGTATGGCGTTTAAATTCGATGCTCATAAATAGTAGTTTCTTCGGCACTGTCTGGATTCTTTCAGGCTTTTCCCTTAGCTTCATGTTTTTTGTCGATAAATCTTGGAGGATATCCATTCTCTTCGAGGACTTGTCTGAGTTCCCCATCGAATGTATCACTTGAACATATCCTCCTTATTCTTGAGGATAAGGAATGGGAGCCCATGTACCCCATGGTAACTGCTTTTCGTCTAACTGCTATCCAAACAGCCTGACTGACATGGTAGGATCTGCTGGGACATGAGTCCCAGCCATTTTTGCTCGTTGGGTCACTGCGGTATTCAAGCCAGACCACCACGGCAAGGTAGTAGTTGTCGGTCGGGGGATGTTAGTGCACATTGCGCCCGTACTTCTTCAGCAAGTAGATCCTGTGTCTGAGACATTTAAGCTTTTATTAGCTGCATTTTTTTTATCCAATTCCTCAACTCTAATGAATTGAGATAGGTATAAAACTGAGGACCAAGAGATAGGGATTCGCATCTGAATCCGGCAGAGCTTCACACTTACTTTAATGACCAGGTAATTAAGCAATCACTACTCTAAAAAGATTAACGTTATTTATTTTTAAAAAATTTTATTTCTGTGTTTATCTTCCCCCCTTGTTTTCTTCTGTAGGCGCGTCGAACGAATTGTCACATGTTTCATCAACCTCTGTGATACATCCTCTCGAAATTGACTGGTTGGTCGAAACAGCTACTAGTACTACTACTACTACCACTACCAAGGAGGAGCATCCTTTAAATCCTTCGAACAGTCCAACTAATCAGCATCCTGTATTAAATGATTTTCCAGATATTTCTAACCACCGTATGCCCGATGATGCTGATGATGGTGATGCTAATGGCAGTGATACGTTGTCGCCGTTGTCTTCGCCTCTTTTGTCAGAAGAACAACAAGAGAAACTGTCTCAAGCACAGAATAATTTAATGCATTTAGATGAAAAGATTCTGTCACCGTTTGAAAGCGCTTTAGACTCAATGGAGGCGTATTTGGATGCTGTCACGGAGCGTGTAAACGCTTTTGAACGATTACGACTTAATAATAATAATAATAATAATAATAATAATAATAATAATAATAATAATAATAGTCGATACAATCAGAATACTATGATGAATAAGTATCCTCATTCAATGCGGGACAACAAGACTTATAAGGTCGGAAGAAGAAAAAAATTACCCGATAAAAGTGTAAACGTTCATACACGTGGAGATTTCAAGCGTCCACCACCGCCTCAATATAATTATTATGTGATGTCGAGTGGGGTTCGTGTTGTTAGAAAATACTCACCATCACCATCGATTATTCCTTATCGTGGAGAATATAAAACTCTCAGAGATAATGTAGGTTACTCAGAGAATTATGTTAATAGTACTAAGAATGCGGCAGCGATAACACCTCAACGCATCCACACGGCAGCAGGAGGATCACAACAACAACAGCAGTTGTGTATCAATCCTACTTTCAAGTGTAGTACGCCATTCAGCAGAACTTCTTCTCCTTTGTCATCCTCTTCCCCTTCTTCTGCACACAAACCTGTCATTCGTGTTTTGAATAGTGTTCAATTATCTACTGTTAATAGCCGCTATCATTCATTTTGTTAACTCAATTTCAAAAGTGTAATTTATTATTATTATCCTGAGTTTGTGTGTGGCACCACCACCCATTGAGTGAGTGAGTGAGTTTTACTGCCTGATGATGATGCTTTCCACTTTTTTTTGATTATTGTTTGTTACTACTGTTTGTTGTCAAGGTACTTAACCCCAGAGTGTTCCTACTGATTTGCGAAGACACCTTCGAATCGATAATACCACTGTGAACGATTATTGTCGACTTTAACTCCAAAAGAAAACACAAGGACTTTTGTATTAAGTTGTGTATTTGTTCGGCAATTAAAATCGAAATACTCTGTACAAGTTCTATAAATAAACAAATGTTTTACAAAGAGAATGTATTGCTGTACCTATTTTTTTTATTCGTATTCTTTCGTCTTCTTCTTCCAACTTGTGTACACGATTGAATCATTTGCGCCTTCGAGTAGTTGCCCGCCAATGGTGACCAAGGTGGTCAATGAACCAACGTTCAATGTTCGCCACATTCATTTACACTCCCCGGGAAAAAAAGGTTCCATCCCTTTTTATCCATCATGGCGATAGCCTTGAACTGAACTGTCAGCGCGAGAACCTGAGCCAACCGGGACTAAGCTAAAATGGAAAACAAGACGAAAAAGCCTTAACACACAATAAGCATGCCACATCACACCAGTGCGCCTCCCCGGTGTGTAGGATCTTCCTCAGTGATCGGAACTCCATTCGCTCTCTGTCTACAGTACCACCAATTTTCTGGCCCTTCGGGGTGTTGGTTGCTTCATGTCACTCTGGCAGTCTCCCCCTCCTCTTCGTTCACAATTGTAGAAGACTAGAAACGACTTCAGAAATACTTACAATATCACTACAAGACGATTCACACAATGCAACACTTCTACTTAATCTCTACCTGTAATTACCTCTGTTGCTACCCTGACCTAAGTTGAAAGATTTTAGTCAGTTATATATTACGTCATCTAACTTACTAACTGAATCTTACTTCAGTTGCTGTCTAATTCACCTTGTTTCTATATTAGATCATTCTTGTATTAACCGATCAATTATCGAAACTTGACAAACCTCATGTACATACAGACACACAAATAATTATATGTAAATGCGGTTGTACAGCTATGTCTGTCTGTCTGGATTCAACATAGAACTTGGCACCGAAGTGCACCAGTTCGAGTTGCCACCTTCCAAATAGCACAGAGGTAGACAAGAAGATGAGTGAAGAGAATCAATAGAGTTTGACAAATATAAGAGTAAAACAGAATGGGTAATGGTAGAAAGGAATATGAAAGATTACAGAGATTGAATACATCTGCGCCATTGACAACGATTTTGAGCCATGTCACCTATTGTCTCCAGCCATTGATTCCTAGAGTCCCGAGGGCCCCAACCCGGGAGTCTGCATCTCCCTACTTGACTCAGTTTAACTGTCAAGGATTTCATGGATTGATGGCATGTTTTTGTTTGGCCACCACTGGCTCTTTTCCAACCTGAACCTATATCAGCTAACAATGCCCGTCGGGGGAGGCGGTGGTTAGGCATGCGCACCACGTGACCTAGCCATCTTAGTCTATGTAACTTTATAACCTCGTCGATTGATTTTCCCTGTTTGCCCAACACTCTACGCCTAACGTCAACATTACTTATCTTGTGAAACCACCTAACGTGAGACAGAGATCGCAGACATCTATGATCGAAAGCAGTCAACCTTTTCATGTCTTCAACGCGTATTGGCCATGTTTCAGAGCCATAGACAAGGACGGAGCGAACTGATGAGCAGTACACACGTCCCTTGGTTGATAACCGGATGTCACGCCTACGCCAGAGATGGTGTAAGTCAGCGAAAGCAGCTCGAGCTTTTCGGATCCGTGCTGAGATTTCATCGCCAATCAGTCCGTTGGTGCTAATACAACTTCCCAAGTAGGTGAAGTGGTCAACATGTTCTATCACTTCACTCCCTATCACTAAGCTAGGAGTTGACGTAGTCCAGTCCTGTAGCAGCATCTTACATTTTGTAGGGGCGAATCGCATGCCAAACATACGAAGATTGCTGCTCAAGGTGTTCAGAAGACTCTGCATTTTGTCAGAATCCTCCCCTAACAGGACTATGTCATCTGCATATTCTAAGTCCATAAGATTATTCCCTGGTAACAAGTCGATTCCTGAGTCACTACGTTCAGTTAAGGATACTTCCATTAGCATATCTATGATGAAGTTAAACAGAAATGGGGAAAGTGGACATCCCTGTCGGACACCACTGGTTGTTACCAATTCAGACGACAATTCCCCATAAGCCCTTACACGACTACGTGAGTTTGAATAGAGTGCCTTGATTAGTGCAACGTACTTTCTTGGCACTCCCTTCACAGTCAGACATTGCCATAGTACCTTTCGGTCTACGGAGTCGAAGGCCGCCTTCAAGTCAGCTATGTGAATGAATTCACCGAAAAAAGTCTCTTCGCTGAACGTCTTCTCTTTTTCATATGACTTAATGGGGATTTTTAAGCTTCTCCAGGTTTCGTTTGCAAGTTAAACTGGATAAAGTCACACCGGTCGGAAGTTGAGATGGGTGTTTGGCGATTAAAAATCAATAAAGCCTAAGCCAGAGTTGACGAATGCAGGAAATTGAATTTTGGTCGAAGGGTTTGGCGGTGTCAATATAGCTGAGTTTCCTTCGATATGATAAGTATGAAGTCGTAAGTGTGCACTTCATAGTACCAGATAAATGTCCGTTACTATCTTTTCCTTTCGAACTGACCTGTATCACATAATTCATGGGATACTGTAAATTCTATCCCAGTGTATCTGAATGGTCAGCAAGCTCACCCCTTCTGAGGAGTTGACAGTCTTTGGTCTTGGTAACCCCTTTCCCAAGTAACTACAAATCAAGCTTTTCTTGACTTGAATACTCTCGCTCTCTGACTAACAATATGAACGATCTCTAGTGACTGGCCACATTCAGGTAGGCAGGTAGTTACCTGGGTATTTCTAGTGGGAAGTAGTGACTAGTAGGGTACAGCAAGTCGAGCATTGTGACAAATACTTGCTAAGACATTGGCTAGCGGTTACGCTATGTCGTGAATTGGCAGAAGTTGGAATTCATAGGCTAGCTAAGTGGCTGGCCGTTGAATGGGCTCCTAGTGGCTAAATGGTCTACAAGCTAACTAGCTCGCCTTCCAACCAGAAGGTCCTGGGTTCGAAGCCTCCGTTTGGTGGGTACGCACTATTGAAGAGTTCCAAACTAGGACGAAGGAAGCAGATTTGTGGCAGTACTGCCTGCAGGTTTTCCAATGATCCTCTAACCGACGTCAGCTCATATGATGAAATCCTGTAACCAACCAGTCAGTGGATTCTTTCCGGATAAATCGTAGTAATTGTAATTTATGTCTTGAATGAGTGAGGCGGATGATCTACTCCGTTAACAAAAAGAAGTAGATTTATTTTTATTCCCATCTGTGACTATGGAGACTTCATTCAATGAAAAAGGCGGTCTTCGTCTACATATCAGTTTCATAAGTAATTCTGCTTTCTCAAAAATATGCTAATAAATTTATATTAATATAGGTCAAAAAGTCGCAACCTCACTGGATATATATACATATATGAAGATATACTCAGTGAAATTCAACACGAGGGATGAAATTTGCTCTGTGCTTCTCCGTTCGGGTACTCCTTAAACTTTCTCCTGTTCGTGTCAGTTACGGCTGGCTCGGATGGGGAATAACATGTTGGTAATTAATGTTATTGACATATTATTCCACTGTTGTGATGTTTTGACTACTGAAATGATGATGATCAGCCGGAGAAGAAGTAGTAGATAGTGTTCCCAGTTAATTTTTCTCTCTCTACTATTAACTTGCTTATTCCATATACCATTGCTACAGTGAGTGTGGAAAAACTTCAGTCCTCTGAGAGTTAACACATTATTATTATATCCTTTAATTCATAGAGTAACATAGGGATTCAGCCAAACGTCTACATTGCGTCCGGTTCTCTGTTAAAGTTTTCACCTGGCTCCAAGTCTTCCCACATGCCTTCATCTCCTCCCGTTCACATGACCTCCTCCCGCATATCTCCCTTGCATTGACGACCAACTCGCCGCCTCCCTTTCGGGTTCCACTCGAGCGATGGCTTGTCTAGTGATGTCACTCCCTTGATGTTTTTTTCCTCAGAGTTGCGAAATCGGTTCCTGCTGTGTTGGTTCGCTCATTGCCAGAGATGCCTCCCTGTTGCTGATCTCTTCTGGCCGTCCATCTGATCTTGAGCGAAGACAACTAGCTGTTGATGAAGGTGTGTAGTAGTTGTTTGAGGTGTTCTTTATGACACGCTGGCCAAGTCTCTGATCCGTATGGTGAGTAGCGCTGACTGACTTCACATTGAAGTTGAAAATCCGGATGTTATTTTCATTTTCATGCTGATTAGTGCTGAGTACTGTTGACCTCAACACGGATTTGAGAAAAATGAAAGCTTGTCTTGCTTTCCCGATCCTCGCTGCTTTGATGCAATCCTCGTCAGTTCCGTCCGGCTGTAGTTGAAACGATGCTTTCCAGTTAGGTAGGTGGGTAGGTGAAGGAGGTTGTTTCTTTCAGATTCCTCCCATTTATGCTGGTTGATTGTTGTCTATTGTTGCTGTTGGTGTTGGTGTTGGCCAGGAATCTTCATCACCTACCTCTGTTTTCTCTATGTTCACCTGAAGGAAGTCCTATCGTGTCTGGAAGGTTCTTCTGCCAACTTGTTACTTTTCACTTGTATATCTCCGAGTTTTTGAGAAATTAGACATATATCATTCGCGAAGTCCAGATTGGATTAGAGAGATGTACTTGAAATAAAGAGAGAATATCTTCAGCTCTACAGTTAGTGTTGTTTCTCCTCTCTCATGACATATTGATTATTGTGGTCATGCTTATGAGCTATGTTATGGACTGAGGTGAAATGTGTGTGTGGGTGGTTGTATGTGTATGTGGCCTTAACATATGAGGCAGCTAGCTAGCTGCCTATTTATTACTAAAGTTTCGTATCGAAGAGTGAACAGTTAAGAGGCTTATTGGTATTTGTGTAATACTAACACCATCAGTTAGAGAGAGAATCATGGAGCACTGCACAGCGGTGTTGATATGTATCCACATATATATATTTATGTGTGTGTATGTTGGTCTCTCTTTCTGTTTGCTCTCTTAGTCTGTGACCATTTCACTTGTGTGAACTTGTCTCCTTTATTAATGTGTATTCTCCTTATATTATATTATATATAATTTGAGTGTTTGTTGACATGTCTGCTATATTCGCTATGTATATTTGGATCGACACTTCATTATAATTAGCCATCCATGTTAAGACTGTCTAATGATTTATTCCCACGCTT